CTGACTAAACTTGTTTGGGGAGGGGGCATGTCACCAGTAGGTAGCACAGTGATAATTTTCAAAACATCTCTCTAGTCCAGAGCTACAGTGGTACCACTGTTCTCATTTGCCAAGTTTGCACTTTGATAATCCACAGAAAGGAGGAAGAAAAAGAGCTTTTAAGGGGATGTGGCTCAGTGGTCAAGTGTCCCTGAATTCAATCCCTGGCACCCCCCAAAAAACAACAAAAGCACCTTTTAAATTTATGGGTGATAATATCATAGTTTATTTGTTGAGGGGGTACTGCTTTATATCATGCATTTCTCCACCCACCATATTAGTACAGTTATTTCCTGACAAATATGTTTTGTGCTTGAGGCAGTATATTTTTATGTAATACCTGAAGACTTGCCATATAAATGTTTGCTCCATGGGTTGCCAAGGTTAGCAGTGTTTCTCATATTGGAAGTGTCACTGCTGGGTTTCAATCTGGGTGTCCACTGAGGAACATGGCTCAGCTTAGCTTAACTGTTTCCCAAGTAGATGAGAATCAACGGCCTGTTAAGTTATAGGTACATTATCATAGTGTGTCCATGACTTATAAAAATTCCCACTTGAATCAAAGTGTGAAATATGATATATCAAGAACTATGTAATGTTTTGAACAACCAACAATAAAAAAATTAAAAAAAAAATTCAAAATGATGGTTTCACTTGCAAACCTCCGTCTCCCTTTTTCCTTGCTTTTTAAAAGTTCTTACAGAACTTGGGCAGAATCTATGGGTTTGGAAGGCTGCACTTACGTTCCTTATTCTACTGTTTTGGCCCCTGGTTAAGTACACATATATTTGTTGCCAGTTTAAAGGGACTGGGTCTTATTCCTCATTGGGCTGCTTGTCACATTTTTGGTCTTTTGTTCTGTCCTTCCTGTTTGCCTGTGATTCCTTTATCAAGCCAGTATCTTTCCATGGGAATAAGTATGTGCCAAGCTCTGCTCCAGGCCAGGTTTTATTGTGCTTCCCCCCCCCCCACCCCAGAATTCATAATTAAAATAATAATTTCCTCCTTCAGGGTACTGCCTCAGAAGTCTCTCTTCCTTTCATAACTCAAGATGTTTCCTTCTCCTGGCAGCTGTTAGGCATCCATCTCAAATTTATCCCACCTAACTAGAATCATCTCATTACTTGACCAGCTCCCCTATTCCTATGTTAGCATCAGGAGGGAGACCCTTCTCCTCAGTGTGGTCCCTGACTGGGACATGGAAGGTACCTAACCACTGGTGAGTGAAGCCAGCCTGCCCACTCTGAGAGAGGAATACTTATGCTATTTATCCAATGCAGAATGTTGGATCCAGGTACCATCAACACTGGCCTGCTCAATGCTGAATTACTGACTTAGTAAAAACTACTTAATTTCAATATTATTTTTAGGGTCAAAATATATTTGATAAATGCTATAAAGTCAGGTATTTTATGATTTTTGTATTTACATTTATATTATATATTTTATTTTGTGAATGATGCTTGTATCCTAAAAACTGGATATTACAATAAAATGTATATTTTACCATATAAAGCATAGAATGTAAGCTCTCCTTTTCTATGTAATAAAGGCAGTCCATTTCAGAACACAACTTAGAACATGAGCTGTATCTAGGAAAAAACACAAATTAAAATGAAAAGTAAGGTTGGGAATGAAGTTTAGTGGTAGAATACTTACCTAGCATGCCTAATGCCCTTAGGTTCGGTCCCCAGTACTACAAAAGAAAAATAAAACTCTGCATTAAAGTTAACAATGTGCTTTATTAGGGACATTTCCAGTATTTTGTCTGTCGCGTTTAGCATACCCCAAAGCATTACATAGGTTTAAAAAATGCTAATTTTATCCTGTACCATCTGCCTTAATGATATTTCTTTTAATTGATTGAAATTCCAAATCTCTGTTGCAGAATAAGAAGTTAACAATATCACTTTGTTAACTAAGATTAAAGAATTAAAAGTCATTAACATGTTACACATATGTATTAAAGCATTATAAATAACATTTGGTCAGCAATTGTGTCAGTCCAGCTGTTTGTTGATTTAAGAAGATTGTTTTTAGATGATAAGTCAAAGCAAGGACATTATTTGTAGACATCTTGATTCCCTCTTTCCATTCCAAGTGTCCATCTTCAAGTGGATAGAACTCTGAGAGTCACAGCTTACAGCCATAGGAGAGAGTCCCATCTTCCATTGTCTTTAGTAATTATTTATATTTTATTATTATATTCCAGAAATATTACACCAGCAGAGCCTGAAACTACAGCTGTATTCATAGAGTCTGAAGGCTTTAAAGTTTTACTTCGGGGAATAACATTAAAAGATGAAATACAGAGATTTTTCTCAGTGTAGCAGAACAAAATAAAATTATCCCCTCTTAAAATAAATGGTAGTTAGGGGAAGCAATTTTTCCTGTCATGGATAAAAGCTAAGGAACACAAAATCAGCATCTGAAATGTTAATTCACAGTGTTTTAGGTAAAAAGAAACTAGAATGCATTGTACAGTACCTTTTCCCAAGGATGATTGCAGTTTCTTGTTTTTAAGACCTGAAAAAAGCATCATATATTTGGTAGGCTAAACTATAAAAACTAGAGATGATATGAAAACATTAGGTCTAATGTTCAAGTTTTTCTTTTTTGGTGGGGGGGTTCCATTTTACATTGCTTAATCAGCTCAGCCTCTCCTGTAGTTGAGTTCAGAGTCCCAGGCATGCCAAAGAAAAGCAAACTTTTGATATTTGAGGCCATATTGAACATTCAAAGTCCCTATGCCTCTAGTTTTGTCGCATTCACCTACAAAGTTACTGTGGCAAAAGCATGAATTTAGAATCAAAATTTTCTTCTAAACTCATCGTTGCCACTTAACAATGGTAAGTTTTGGTAGCCTGTACAAGGCATTTTATTTATAAACTTCTGCTTCCTCATTTGTAATGAAAGTTTCAAAAGCCTGTTTTTACCTAAGTCTAGGGCTGTGCTAAGGATAAAAGGAGTCAAAATAAGCTTAGTGTACTAAGAAGTGTTTTTTCACAAGTTTCAGGTAGGTCCTGTTGTAATTCCCATTTCACAGGTAGGGAAAGGTTGAGAAAAGCTAACAAGTCTAATAAAGATCACATGGCTAATAAATGAGAGATCTGGTTCCAAAAGAAACTACTGTAATTACACTTACTCACCCTTGGCACTACTGACATCTTGGGGCTGGTATTTCTTTGTTGTGGAGACTGTTTTATGCATTTGAGGATGTTTAGTGACGTATCTGCCTCTCCCACTAGTTATCAGCAGTCACCTCCTTCCAGTTGTTCACAGCCAAGGGTGTCTCCAGACACTGCCAACTATTCCCTGGTGGGCAGAATCACCCTAAGTTGAGAAAAGCTGGTCTGTATGATTCTAGAGCTAAAGTTCTTAACCAGTTTCATAATGATATTTATTAGTATTATCATTATGCTAAGTAGTTTCTCTTTAGAATACTTGTATGACACAGCAATTTGCAGAATTAAAAAAGAGATAACAACTGATTTTCATCCATCATCTTCCTGTTTCCAAATATAAGCAGAGGCATTGTCTCCTTTGTAAGTTGGCTAGCTTCCTGTCCCCGTAAACAGAATATCACCTGCCAAGGATGCCATCTGCAAAGGGCCCAAAGTCCGACTCAAAGACCTCTGGTCTCCCTTCTAGTTTAATTCTATACTCATTCCCTAATGGGCCACGCTGGTCTGTTTTGAACAGCCCTTAGCCATCTGGCATATTTGTGGACTTCTAGTATCTGTTATCAGCCAAGATGGGAGAAAGAAACACATGGATTTTCGTAACCACAGTCTCATTCGATCTTCACAATAAGCCCCTGAGGTTTGTATTGATTGTCTGTGTTTACATTTTACTTAGGAATCTTAACCTTTTTCTTTGCTTGTTCCTTCAACTTTGGTGTGCTCATTGCAAAACTTGATATAGAAACTCAGCGGGAAGTTGATGTGGAAACTCAGCAGGTGCCTTTGTTACCAGCCCTGTATGAATAGTAACATCCTTCTGAATTACTCAACATAAAGCAGATGCCTTCTGCCCTGCATGACTCTTTCTTTTTCCTTCCCCCTTAACATGGATCATTAAATACATGCCTTCTTTTACTGCACTGGGGACTTAGGAACCGATTTTCACTTTCCTGATGCTGTGGATAGGTGTCCCATATTTCTCCAAGAATGGAATGTTTTTACTTCTGTTTCTCACCCTTCCCCACCCTGCAAAATGGCCAACTGCAAGTTTTCCAAGCCTCCCATGCCTTCCCATTGTTATCTCTACATTTGACACTTCCTGATATTAGCACTATTCCCAACTTATTGTCACCTTGCAACTAGAACTTTTTAAACATTTATGATTGACTTCATCAATGTTTGTTTCTGTGTTATTAAAACTATTGGGAAATTAGATGCATTTGACCTGGGACTCATTCATAGTTCGAAAATATTTTGCACATAAGCCTGTATGAATTAAATTTTCTTTTGAACTCTTAAGTTTTAAGATGAATTGCTACTGACAAACACAATAAATATAATTGTATATGATTAAAAGTATCAGCATAACCCGAGAAGAGGCTGATGTAATTAGCAACAGTGATGAGGATCTAGAATTGCCTAGGAATCTTTGAGACTCAGAATTTGGCTTATGGAAGGTCCAAAACAGTAGTTTGAACCAATGGGAAAGAGAACTGGATTATTTCATGGCAATATAACTTTAGTGTCAATTAAAACTTTATATATTTTTTTTCATTTAAAGTGCGTGTGAATCATTCTTAATTACTGTATGGTTCGTTAAAAAAAAGACTAATTGGTTCTTGCTATAAAATGCAATGTCTAGCTTGACTGAGTCATTTTTCTTTTGAGATCAGTATGCATCCTTATTGACTAGTCTTTCTAATTCTGCTTTGACATGCATGCAGCCATTTCATCATGTTCTATCAGCAATTAATTGTGGGGTTTCTCTTCCTTTTCCAGGTGGCCTTTTTGAAGATGTAACTGTTGGAACTGAGGCATCCACCCACCCCCACCAACAGACAGACAGCTCCAGGGCAGAGCACACTGAAGGCCAGCAGTCAGCTCTGTGGGCATGGATTACAAAGACAGGAACCAGGGCTGCAGAATGGCAGTACTGCACTAAAGTTTTGAGTTTACTTGTTTACATATATTATCTAAAAGAAGGGCTGACTTTAGATCTCTGAAAACCCAGCACTGTGAAGAAAGTTGTAGTGGCAGGTTGTCAGCAGGGTAAGTATAGAAGTTACATTGCTACTTTCCACAGAGAGGAGCATTCAAATCTGTGCTGTGTCAGCACCACCTGGAAGGATATTAGCTAACAGAGACCCATCTGTCCTATGTGGAATGTGCAAGGAACACCATTGGTGGAACTCAGTGTAAATTCTAGGAAATAAACTTTAAAGAGCTTCTCAGGTTTGTTTAAAACAGATTTTAAATAACAAAAATACAGTGCTTTTTGTACCTTACTCAGAAAAGATGCTCAGTAAATGTTTGTTGAATGAGTAATTATCCAATTAAAAATTTTCCTGAGTTTGCAAACCTGCATGTGTTCTTTTTGTTCTTTATTTTCTTTACCTCATACTATTGCAAATTAATAATAATAATAATAAAAAGTACTCACTGGCATCCTGGTACAGTTGTTTGTGTACCAGAACAGGAGGTGAGGAAAATATTGAATGAGAATAATGGAGCTGGGTGGAATCATAGAGTTCAGGTCAGCTCTTCATTTTACAGACAAGGATTGAAACTTGCCCAGAATCACACCGATAGGCTCATGGTTGGGCCTGGAGCCAGGTGGATCCACCTCCTCTGCCTGTGACCTCCTCCACCTCTCTCTGACATCCTCCATTCCCACTGTGCAGTCAAGACTCATCTTTGTGTTTGCAACTGTCCTTGCTGCTGATCAAGCCTTTTGGCATTAATCCTAACCTACTGACCACCTACCTAATACTTCTTCCCTCAAAGACCTGAGTTGACACCACAGTTTCCTAACTTTCTTAGCACAGGTGTCATGTGGCATTATGATTTTGTGAACTGGCCATGATTTCTTCTTCCTTTACTTCAACCAAACCCTTGTTCTGCCAGCAGAGCAGTGGGGTAGCTCCTCTAATTCTGTAACTGGTGGACTGACCTAAGAGTAAAACCCATCTGTTGGATCCTGCTGCATTACTTTATTAAGCACAGTTTGAAACATTGATGTTCTTAGTGTTATGTCCAACACTCACAGCCACAGAGAATTAGTTTGGCTTTACTACTAATAAGCTCCCAAACATCATGCTGACTTTTCATGGTTCTGATTTCTGTCATATCAGTTATAGAGCTGGGTTTCTCATGCTCAGCACTATTTTCACTTTGGCCTAAACAATTCTTTGTTGGGAGAGACTGCCCTGTGCATTGGAAGATGTTTAGCACCAGATGTCAGTAGCACATTCTCCTCCTCCTCCACTTTGACTTGCAATGACCAAAAATGTCTGCAGATGTTGCAATGATTGGCAAAATCAGTTGTAGATGAGAATACTGCTGTAGAAGATGTGGCCTGAGAAGTAAGGTTTCGTGAGTCTTAGTGTACTTTTGTTTTCACAAATGAATATATTCATGATGAACACCTTCGTGTGTGACTGCTTCTTAGAGTTTAGTTTGTATTGATCTAATGGTAGAAATTGGAATAAATTAGGTGAAGCAGAGTTCAGCCTGTGCATACAAACAATTTTCTTCAAAGGTAGTTTTTCTCCTTCTGGAGAAAAAAAAATGTCCATAATCATATTAACATACATTTATGATTTAGATAGTGAAGAGCTGATGATTCAAACGATAACTTTGTTCTGCTCAAGAAACTTAGCTAGAATATTCTTATTTACAAATCTTGTCTTCTGAAGTAAAGTTGAGTCAACCTTACCTCTTTCTGAGGTCTTAGGAAGAGCCGAGTCAACCTCCCTGTGGTGGCACAGTGTGGAGAGTGGAGGTGGAATGACTGAGAAACTCTGAGGGGCAGGGATAAGGGGTGGGGTGTCACAACACTCACACAGAACAGATAGTTACTGTGCTTGCATTTACATTTGTCATGCAACTTAAAACCTTGTTATGGCGAAGTTCTCAAGCTGGACAGGTCTCCACTGGTTCTTCCATGGTTGGGAAGGGAGAAGTACTATACTATAAAGTGCTATGTTTTAATATAATCTTTGAAAATAATCAGCACACTAAGGGGAAAAAATAAAGGAAGGTGCTTTTTCAGACTAAGAACTTAAATATATATATTTTTCTTAGTTCCCGTATGTGGTCAAAATAATTCTATCCTATAAAGACTGACTATGGAGATACACATATTAAATGCTAATAGATTGCATAAAAACCACAGCCTATATAATTTTGCCCAAAGTAGCCTTACTAAGTAAGAACCCACTAATATTAACAAAACTTATGTGATTCCATTGATTCCAGGAAAAGGATCCAAGCAAAGCCAAATAGTCTGATATAATTGGCCTTACTCAACCCCTTTGATAATTAAGCTTGCTTAGTAGCTACTGTAATAAAAAGTGCTGACAGTGTTAAATAGTTGTGCATAATAGATAAAGCTAGCCTCATTGTTATCTCTGTACGTTTGTTTTTGTGCTTAATGTATAACAAAGATTAATTGGGGCCCATGTTTTGTTGTAATTTAGGGATGTAGAGATGACTGGTACACCTTAGTCTCTGGTTAGAAAAGAATCACCATTTATCTTACACATCAGAAGGCTGTTTCACGCTAATTGCTCATCTGAAAGCTCTACACATTTTTAAAATAATCTTAAATACTCAGTCCACTTGGTATGAACTCAATTTGACAATTTCTCTTTGTTTGCAACTTGAGATACTTCAAGATTTCATCTGCTGAATCAGAGATCACTTGAATTCCTTAATCTAGAAGGAAAAGTATGAAGGAGTTACATGGGAATAAGTTATTTTAAGAAGTAAATTCTCTAGTTTTAAGAACAGACAAATCTGCAAAAACATTTTAAAATATATTCAACCTGTACTAGTATTCTTTTAAAAAAAATATGGCTTCATTTTTACTCAAAAATAAGCCAATTTGTTCTTAGTCCCATTGTGGATAGATTAAGAAACTAATTTGCAGGGACCCAAACTTATTCTAGGGCCTTTTAATACAAAGGTGCAATGAGCAGAGTACAGGACTTATGTCCCTGTATTGGTGTGACTGGGCTCTGCCTCCAGTAGACCTGCCTTGAACTTTGGCACCTTTCTGGTGTGACTAGATGACTACATTTTCTTTATTCATTTTTTTCCCACTATAGCAGCCTGATTAGATATTTTTGTTGTTATTGTTTTGTTTTTCCAGATACTGGGGATTGAGCCCAGGAATGCTCTGCCACTGAGCCTCATCTCCAGCCCTTTTTAATTTTTTATTTTGAGAAATAAAATAAATAAGTTGCCCAGGCTAGTCTCACACTTGCAATCTTCCTGCCTTAGCTTTCCAAGGGTTACAGGCATAAGCCACTGTGCCACACTTGATTCTTTTTTTTTTTTAATAAATCCATTGAGACTTATTTGATTTCTTTTAATATTTTATGATTTAAAACTTTTTTCTCTTATTACTTGTTTTGGGGGCAAAAAAGATGAGAATTATTTTATTGCCATAATTTGTTTATATATGCTCTATTAATTAGTGTTTTTGTTGCAAATTTTAGTACTTCTAAACATACTCAAATCATGAACACCATCAGCAGGTAACTTAATTTAAAACAGTAGCAGCAGTAAGTTTTCCATTTGAGGGTTCTGATTGAACATTTCCTAAACTCAAGATGGACAGGGCTTGTTACTGCAATGGAAATGACAGCTCAAATTTCTGCCTAAGCATTAGAAGAACACACCACACCCAAATGGCTCCAGCTGGTGGCCAGAGATAAGAACTCAGGGGCATCTCTTTGGCTAAGAGACTGGGCTTCCTACTGTCCTATTCTCATCTTTAAACAGACTTCTTCAGGCATTTGCACATGAACTCAGGGATTCATGCCCTATTCTCTTATGTACACTACTAGTCCCCCTATCACTCATCCACTTGTGCCTAATTCTACATTCCTGCCCTGAGTGACCCAGAGACAGAGAATTGCCCTTCACGCTCATTACACTCTCCCTGCCCAGGGTCTATAAATAACAAATGTGTGAACTTATTCCTATTGTGATGGAGTGTTGAATTTGCACTTTCCATCTGAGAACCAGGGGCTTTCCTAGGCCAGATTTTCCCACGGGTGCCAGGATGGGAGTAAGGGTAGTGACAAAGGTTGGAGGGGTAGATCCAAAGCTCTGGTCAGGCAAAGATAAACAGGACACAGGTCAGACAAGAGCCACAAGGGCATATGTCAATATAAACAAGTTTCCTGTTTAAGGGACCCACGATTGCAGATTGGACTACTGGGCCGGCCACCGGATGGACAAAAGAAGGCTCCTTTGAAAGACACGGTAAGTGTCCACCTTTCTTATTTTACAGTTAGGCTACCTTTGCTAGCTGCTCTATTGGTAGAACTCCAACTTAGCTGGGAGCTTTCAAAATAGTTACCCTTTATCTACCCCCCTGCAGGCCTGAGGAGTCTGTGGCAGGTGTACTGCAGAAATAAGCTGGGAAAGGAATTATAGAAACATAAGTGCCCCCCAAATAATGGTGTCTGCTCTATTTTTTCACCGAAAACCAATGAAGGGAACCAGTAATTGTGGGATGGGGGATCTCTATGACCTATTCCTCTCTTTACATCTTCCATCCTATCTCCAAGCAATGCCACTTAAGTGCTGGTCTTGCATACTCCTGCCCTCTCTTTTAAGACTTACAGGTACATTGGGCATGGTGGCAGACGCCTGTAATCCCACTGTTTCCAGAGGCTGAGACATGAAGATTCTAAATTTGAGGTCAGCCTCAGTAACTTAGTGAGACTCTATCTCGAAATAAAAAAAGGCTGGGGAATGTATCTTAATGGTCCAGCACCCCTAGGTTCAATCCTAGGGGTACCCCCCCCCCCCGAAAAAAAAAAGCTTAAGGGTATATATTTAAGTATAGATTCCTGTGTGATTCCTTCACTTGAAACTTTCTACTCATTAGGATAGTGACATAAGTATCAAAAAGAGTCATTGTTAGTTTTATGTTCCACAATATTACACATTACTTTTTCACCCCCAGAGACAGAGAAAGGTTTATTTAGGAAAGCGGAGGCACATTCAAGGGACACTGTGGACTATCTCCTGCAGGAGAGACAGCTGTACACATTCCTTTATGAAAAAAATATTATTCAAAAAATATTAGCTCCTCTTCCCTCACCCTAATATTCTGAATAATAAACTCAATAAAGGGCATTATAAATTCTCTACATTGTTCACATAATTATATGCCTGAGTGCCAATGTTAAAAAAAAAAAAAGAATTCTTGAAATAAAGTGCATAAAGTAACTAAGAAATTGAAACAAATTTCCAGTTTATTTCTATACAATCTAAGAAGTGATGAGGTCAGGAAACAAAGACGAAGT